GACTAGTACGCTGGATTCCTCTTGGCACCAGCTTTCCAATGAGGGGTCACAAGTCATATAGGGTTACATTTGAAAAAATCATGTTGAGGGTGTTTTCAGCTACCCCTGTAGGAATATATTCTCGATATTACCCGAAAACGTCGGTAAATACATCAAATCGTTTACGTATGTCGGGAATTTTTAGAAAAAATATTCACCTTCCCGCTAACGAATTTATTCCAGTTGAGGTCTCCACACTGTACATACATATGCACAGAACCTTTTGAGGATGGATCTAGTCACTTCTGAAACAAACGGGGTTTAAACAATTGAATTCTCACTTATCTATAAAATTCTATGAAGGAAAGCAAAAAAAATTGAATATTTAGGGTGATTCATTGAAAATGGGGAATCTTTGAACTACAGATAGTAAACACCAAAATATGAATATTTAACGCAACATGCCTTAGATAAATAATGTCAAAGAATGGAAGATTTGTATTTCGTGCAAAATAATTTATTCAATATTCGTAGCAGAGCGCTTTCGACTGTTACTACTATTGAATAAATTATTTTGCACGAAATACAAATCTTCCCTTCTTTGGTATATATTCACGTGCACAAAGCCCAGCAACCCTCACTTATATAAATGTTGCAGAAACAGGGTGTTCAAGGAAACATTTTATTTCAAAATTTTCCCTAACTCATTTGGTCGAACATTCACTTTGAAATTCTGTTTGTTGTTGACATTGTTAGTGATTGTCATCATTGAATAAGAACTATATTTTTTCCACTATCACTTCGCTCACTTTATAATTCAAAATTATTAAAATGTTATGAGACTTTTAAGTGAAACATAAATATCTTCAAGAGCGAATAACGCAAAAACTGTTCTAGAGCTCGACAATTTGAAAAAGAGTACAGCTTTTATGTAAAATTGATAGGGCTTTCAGATTTTTCACTTATTTTGATCATCATTTAATGTACAAAGAAGATATGATGTAATTTACCGAAGTAACAGAGTCCCACTAGCGCCCTCTATGAGCAATCACAAAATAAGTTACAAATTCGTATTTCTTATGCCAGAAAACCTGAAACTACAAAATTTCATGTTCATGCTGTTAAAACTCACAAAGTTATTGATACATTTTAAAATAAAATCTCCTTCAAGTCCACCCTGTATCTTCTAAACCAGTAACATTCTTATCAGGCATGTCCGGCTACATCTTGATATCTCATTAGTGTTTACTATCTATGTAGTTCAGAGATTTCCCATTCTTAATGAATCACCCTGTATAAGGTTTTTAGTTTCTTCTTATAGGCCCTCTTCCTATATGACGAAACCTAAAATTAGAAAACTGATATTTTCATAACCGATAATTTCTGTTTTTGGAGGGTGCATTTTTGACAGTCAACAAATCCTGAGATCAGAAACAATTTCGAGAAAATGCAGCTTTGAAATTTTATGAGGAACTGTCCTACTTCTACACCACATAATTTCAAAGCCTTTTCCATTAGAAAACTGATATTTTCAGAACCGATAATTTCTGTTTTTGGAGGGTGCATTTTTGACAGTCAACAAATCTTGAGATCAGAAACAATTTCGAGAAAATGCAGCTTTGAAATTGTATGAGGAACTGTCCTACTTCTACACCACATAATTTCAAAGCCTTTTTCCATTATAGAAAACTGATATTTTCAGAACCGATAATTTCTGTTTTTGGAGGGTGCATTTTTGACAGTCAACAAATCTTGAGATCGGAAACAATCCAAAGAAAATGCAGCTTTGAAATTTTATGAGAAACTGTCCTACTTCTACACCACATAATTTCAAAGCCTTTTCCATTGCGAATGTACTGGTGCATTTGTTTTTTGGAATTGGTTGAGATTTGTAGAGGTGTTTTCGAATGGCCACCAAAATCACCTGATCTAACTTCTTTGGAATTTTTCATGTCAGGAGGTCAATTGAACCTTTTTTTGTTTTGTTTGCTCAAGCCTTTTCAATTCGAGACTGTTTTCGGTTAAAATATCACGAGTGCATAAGAGTTACCGATAATTTTGCATGAAACCGTGTTATCTAATAATTGCAAGAGTTTAAGACTCATCAGGCTCTTTCGCCAAAATATGAAAATAAAGTAATGCAATTTGTATTTGTAAGATAACACGTTTGAATGCAAAATTATCTGGTCATTTTCATGCACGAATGTAATTCTTTGGAATATTTCACGAATGAAGAAATTATCGATAGATTGTATGGAGCACTCACCAAAACGCGACATTTCTTTGACTTTTTGAAGTCTACCTGACATTTATCTCTGGCTTCTGGCAGTGCAATTACCCCTGTAAGATTTCGATAATTGCATTGCTCTTATGGAACATTTCATATGATTATGAGGAAACTATTCTTACTGGTTAAATGATCGACACCGTAAAAAAAGAAATGTGGTTGTGCAGTGCAGTAAAAGTTCATTATTGGCAGGCATTATTCTGTTAGAAATTAGTATGCAAATGTCGGTTCGTCAACTTTCGTTTTCAGTCAATAAATCTGCCGAATCTCAACTATGTTTCAAAACGATGCACCAATGTATTCTCTATATAAAAAAGGCTTTGAACTTGAGAATGGAGTTGTTATGAGCAATGCTAGGGGGATGACTGTCAAATATGCTCCCCTCAAGAACAAATATAGACGGGTCTCTGCATATTCTAAGGAACAATATGTTCTTTTAATTCAGAGGTTGAAATACCCTGTATATGGTTGTTTAAACGCTTCGTATGTTAGATGTTGTTGATGTTGAAGAAGTTTTAATATGAATAACCTGTATTAGATTTCGTAATGGTGAAATTTATTCTTTTATATGTGACATAATTTCTGAATTACAAAATGATGGCATATAGAAATATCAATAATGGGTGTCTTGAATGGTCTACCCGGCACGCCTACATCAAAATTTTAATTTTTATTTCAACAGGAATTCGATGTCCACATTTCCATTCCATTATCGTATAAAATTGACGCACCTCCAAATTTTTGATCGGATTCCCGAAAAAATGAAAATACTTCTTATTTCAACTCAAACGCCCTGCACATTGATAACGAAGAACTTAACGACGCATTTTACATTGGATTGAATATTTAAAAAACGATCATTATAATCCAAAAAGGTGTATATATATATATCATATAACTATCGATATATCGATATCAATCGATATATCGACTAACTAGCGATTTATCGATACCTATATCGACAAAACAAATTTAATTTTTTTTGATAAATATATGGATATATCGAATAATGATATATAATTTCAAAAATATCGATATATAGATATGCTTTGACTTCGATAATCGATATGTGAAATCCAATATAGCGCAGCCGTTATCCTACAACTTTGGATCCAATAATCGCGAATCATTGGCTGGATAGTCCAGTACTCCTAAGGTGGCTTATGGAGTTAGTAACAAAACCGCTACAGAACATAGCATTAGAAACATTGTGGGCTGAAGCTACTTACAGTCCAGTGAAATATGTGTAGTTCACCTATAATCATATAATTTTTGTGGGACAAGATACAACCGATGGCCGACTTCGACCAATCAACCACCCTGTATATATGACGCTTTTTCAGATATCACAATATCCCATTTGAATTGGAGAGAAGTTTATGACGTGAAATACCTATGTAAGTGTATGGTGTGCAGGAAGGTTGTTGCTTCATAGGCGTGGCGTAGTCGTGTTTATGGAATTTAAATTGGTTTGTTGAACATTCAATTCAAGGATTATGTTCGATTATTTAGACAATCAGTAGTGATTGAATCAATCAACTATCAAGTAAAAGTAGATATATAGGTACATTTATTTCTATATAAGTACAGGGTGATTGATTATATTTTACTCAAAAGCTATACCTATCTCAGTAAATATATTGTTCTTCCAGAAACATACAAATGGGTAAATATGAAGTATTTTTATGGGCATTCAAGTTTTAGTACTAGAATATGCAAAAAAGTTAGGTAAACTTGAAAATTTTACATAAACAAGTATTATTTAAATGGAACACCCTATATTTTATTTTAATAATCGGTAGAGCACTTTCTTCTGATTTCAAATATAGAATTTTTTAATGAGGCTTATCTCTGTCAGTTTTCGAAAATTAAAGATTTTTTCGTATAAATCTGAGACAGCTGTAGAACGCCAAAAATTGCAGCATTGTCGTCTGGCGTTTTTATGCGAAAAAATCAGTTTTTTTCAAAAACTGACAGATAGCCTCAATAAAGTATATACCTATCTATATTTGAAATCAGAAGAGAACGCTCTACCGTTTAGGAAAATAAAATATAGGCTGTTCCATTTAAAAAATACCAGTTCATAAATTTTTTTCAAGTTTACGATGCTTTTTTGCATATTGTACTGAATTCTGGATGCTCATAAAAACGACTTCATATTTTGTAGAGTAAAATATAAACAATAATCCTGTATCAAACCAGTCAAAAATATTTTTCGTTCAAATTACCAATTTTATGATGTATAGACGCGATTATAATTTCTGGTTTAAAAACAACAAGTTTTCTATAATGATTGAGTACCTATATATGAGATTTCCTATATTCTAACGGCATATCAAACACTTTCATACTTACCAAACAATTATTGGCTTTTGTGTGATTGGATTGGGATAGTTTTAGAAGTTATGTTTCAATATGAGGATCTCAAATTAAAACATCTGTCATCGAACAACTGCCTATAATGTGTCTAATTTGAATTTCTTGCTTCAAATCAGTTGATTTGCCAACTCTATTTATCTTCCAGAATAATAATTCACAATTTTTTATTATTTCTTCTTTATGAAAGATTGAATTTTGAATACCCATCAGCTTCTGTTTCGAATATTCCGAAAAAAATACGGAATTATTCAATAAAATCGTTTATGACTATCTTATTTACTATATTTTTGAAACTAAAAGGCCTATAGTTAATGTTATATTATTCGAATATGTTCAATTTGATTCATTTTTTCAGGTGTCCTTTGGCTGAGCATACAAGATGTTTATGGAGTGAGAGGTACATCTTTAATATTTGGCAAATCAACAACAACCACTACTACAACTCCATCGGCAGAAGAAAAAGATTCTTCAGAAGACGAGGTGGGTATATTTCATACGATTTACCTAATATGATTTCAAACGATGTGACATAAATTATTAATAAAATAGTCGCGTTCTGTTTCATTTTCATATTACACCCTGTGTGATCCTCGGTAAAAACCTTGGAGAGGCCTGATTGTATTACATTTTTTCCAAAGGAATGGGCGTGTACACCTTAGTAGAACTTTTAACTCAAACCATGTTTATAATGATCCTATTATACATAGATAATGATTGACGACATAATTCGATCGAAAAATTAGCTGGAATGTTTCATTTTTGGACATAAAAAATAGTACCTTCTGAAAACGGACCCTCTTATGACGTAGAAACCTCATCTCGCCATAGTTAAAAGAAAATACCAAAAGCCCGACGGAGACTGAGGCAACTGATATATTAATTCTTTCAACTGTGATCTCGCGCTTCGCGCTAATTCACTCTGTCAGAAATCATGTATCATTCATCTCTGTCTGGAATAGTCTTGTTTCATTATTAGGGTTTTGACGTCACATCATCGCCTCGTTTTCAGAGGTGCGAAAAATCGGGGATTTCAATAATTTTTTAAGAAACGTAGGGAGCTCACAGCAAGAAACTGTTTGCGGTGGTGAGCTAGTTTGGATGAGTTCTATCGAAATAAAAATTTTATGTGATATAAGACCTGAAGAAGCTACTGTGTTAGCGAAACATGTCGGGTGTTCGAGAATTTTGTGGAAATCTTATCGTTTGTGAAGTTTTTTCATTTGTCATGGATTTCCATCAAGTAACGGCCGAGTCACTTCAAAAAATGATATAAGCCCATTGAGAAAAAAATGTCATTGTCTTCCTATTGGATAACCCGGTATACACCTACATTATGCATATTGACATAACCATCTGCAAATTCGTGATTTTAAATTCATGATGATCTTAGAAACAATATAGGATTCCAATAAGGAAGTCGTTCTTTAAGAATTTTTGAATCGTCTTTGACACCCACCAGAATCTACAGTATCTACACGAAGATATTATTTAAGAGTCAGATTCACTTTCTATCATTACAACTACAAATATAACCTTGAAGTATTTCTTATGTCAACGCTGATCCTAGTTCTGCCAAGGTTTGAACATGCCGATAAAAAGAACGTTTTAATGAATGATAAATATGTCTGAAAGTAAATTGAATTCCTCATCGACAGTGATATTGAAGCACTAAACCTCTCTAGTCTCGGTCTGAATGCTACACTTTCTATCAGATATTAGAGTGCCAACTATTAAACGGTTGAAGATCTAAGGCGAAAATTTGTAAATTAGATTAGATGATCGTTAATAATTAATAAGGTTCTGCTGGAATGATTAATAAGTATATCATAATCATTTTCCTCAGCCACCTGTTGAATATTCAAACATTAAACAATAAGTAGAACACATTGGACACACATCAGCTAGATCCTAGATTATATTGTCTGCTTATTTGATACGCCCACCAATCTGTCTTCACAAAATTCTTACCAAATTACCAGGAGCTGATAAAAATAATAATTTTTTCTCCAAATGACATTAAAAGTGGATTTTTGTTGACACTTAACAGGCTGAAAAGGTGTACGTTGCTATGCAACGTTCCAAGTAATTGAATCAAATTGGTAATCAAAATTGACAATGACTTTGGGTGAACAAAAAATGATGGATTATTTGTTATTTGGACTTTGCGTGAAATTGAAAATAATTTGGAGAAAAAATTATATGTTTCACATGGCAGAAAAGAAGATGTAATGCCTTGGCTGGAGTCCTAGCCTCACTAAACAAATAACTATTTTTCTTGTCGAATGAAAAATCAAATTATTCAGAAAGGATGTGGCTACAATTTGATTTCAATGATTTGATTTGTTGACAGCCGCTGTTGTAGCTGGTGCAACTAATTTCTCGAAGAAAACTTCTCCTCATGCTCCAATATAAACCTGAATGAAAATGTTCACTACAGCATTTTTAGTGATGATTAAACTGATACTTAGTTGAAAAAAAAATCATCCAAATTGGATGAGCGGAAGAAAGCATTCTTCCAGATGGAAGAAATTTTCAGTGGCCAGTTCTTTGAAGGGTACCTACCTACATTGTATAACTGTACAGGGTGGCCAACTGAGACTCCATAGTTCGATTTCTCTGTTGTCTTGAGAGATACGAAAAAAAGTCATGTATCAAAATTGATGTAATAATCGAACTTCACATTTCAAAATTTCTTTGAAATACACAGGGTGTTCCGTAAGGTCACAGCACATCAAAGCTATGTTTTTTTCATCGGAACACCCTATATTTTATTTCATTTTTGAATTCTCCCTGAAGATCTGATTTCAACGACCCATTATACTTAGGGTCTAGCAGTGAAAGTTAATGACATATAGGGTCTGCAAAATCGGGATTTTCCAAGTTCAGAATTTTTTTTTGTCGGAACTGTTCATTATTCGTCAAAACGGTTTACATGTCCCTATCTCAACTTTTCACTCACTATCAATTGGTGTTCAATTGAAATTGATACAAGGTGGTCACAAAATCTCAATTTATAATTTGTTTCAATTAAATGTCAATTGAACACCAATTGATAGTGAGTGAAAAGTTGAGATAGGGACATGTAAACCGTTTCGACGAATAATGAACAGTTTCGACAGAAAAAAATCCTGAACTTGGAAAATCTCGATTTTCCACACCCTATATGTCAGTAACTTTCACTGCTAGACCCTAAGTATGATACGTCGTTGAAATCAGATCTTCAGGGAGAATTCAAAAATGGAATGAAATATAAGGTGTTCCAATGAAAAAAACATAGATTTGATGTGCTGTGATCTTACGGAACACCCTGTGTATTTCAAAGAAATTTTGAAATGTGAAGCTTGGTTATCACTTTAATTTGAATGCAAAACTTTTTTTTGTATCTCTCAAGACAACAGAGGTATCGAACTCTGGATTCTTAGTTGGCCACCCTGTACATGACTGATTTGTGTTCTTCAATATGCCAAAAACTTTCAAGAAGAAATAGCCAGCGGCGCAACTATTTACCCAATTTTGAAATACAAAAAGCAAATAAAATGAGTCATCAGATGTCTAGGCTCTGATCATTATTTTTCAAATTTTCAACTGTCTTTCAGAACCTAATCAGTAGTTACGTTTTATTTATCCGATTCCGCCACCGGAATCACTTCAATGTGTTATTTTATTTGCAACTTTTCCGATTCCGATAGCTACTTTCCATTCCGTCTCACTACAAGGAATGACGTGGAATGACTGTGGACAGCCACAAAAAATCAAATTAGATTGACAAGAAACGAAACTTTCTGGAAGTAAATAGTTATTTATTATACAAGGGAAAAAAGTAGTTTTTTTAATCTCCAGGTTGTGTTGTCTCCCGACGCGTAGCGGAGGGAGACAACAAACCGTGATCTAAAATCTAATATTTTTCCCGTGTATAATACACTATTTTTTTTTGTGACAGAAGAAAGGACGAATCAATATTGAGAAGATATTACATTATTTTGAGATCTGAAAATTATCGACGTGAAATTTTGAGTTTTCAACAGTAGGGACACCGCGTTGTAGGCATCTTTATCATTCATTTGAAGTAATCAAATATCTGATGTCACTTAATCTGTCAGTCTAATTCTATGATTTGATTTCAAAAAAATGCGAATTCGGTGGTTGTTTAGTAATATACGTAACCGCGAAGTCGAATGGAAGATAAAAGGACTTGCAGTTCTTTCTCGGAGGCGGTATTATTGACTCATTTTTCGGAACTATAGCACAACAGAAGCCATCAACAGTGTATATATATATATGTGATATATATCCGGGAAAAAAGTTCTCACTTTTTTCCCACGGGAAAAAAGTAATTTATGAAAAGTGACATTTTATAACCTGCCAACAGGGATGAAATGCCAAACTTTTTTCCCGTTACAGAAAAAAGACATTTATTAGAAGACATTTTCATCGTCACTAGTTCATGATTCTTTCAGGTGAGACAGGTTTCATAATAATATGTTCATTTCCAGATAAAATAAATTCTTTCGATCTCAGAGAAGTTGCTCCAATCAGCACAATCACTGCTCCAAATATTAGTTGATTCATTTTCCAGATTCTTAACTCTAGTATTATGATTTTGAAATCATTTTGGATCCCCAATATACAAATTCTCTCATGCAAGGTCATGAAGTTTCTCGTTTTATTTCTAAACGTTATTCTGTTTCTACACCGCTACCAGAATGGAAAAAATAAAACGCAACTAATATTGTATCCCAAGAGTTATTTCATTTGCTCTTTTGTTTCTCAAAATCGGATGGTTTGATGGGGATTTTTTGTCAGTCAGCATAAAGGCATCACAGAAAATGTATATATTATTTATTTTTATGCTTTCAGGGAGTCACAACTGAACTGAGCGCAGATGGCAATACAACTAAGCCAACTTTGACTGGGAACCCCCAGATAGACTATATTTGGGATCCGAATTTGCCAAAGGAACTCAATGGATATAACTTATCAGACTATCCCTTCTATGAAAGGGTACCAAAGGATATCACTTTCAAATGCGATGGGTTGCATGATGGTTTTTATGCCAGCGTGCAACACAAATGCCAGGTAAATGGTCTTCTCCTCTTCATTGATATTCAACGAGTCGCTTATGTACTAACGATTTCAAATAACAGCTTATTTTGTTGTCTTGCATAAACTCTTTCTTTTTTCATTTTAACATACCTCTATTGGCAGAACATGTGGTTTGTTTTGAATGGTGATTTGTACAAAGAGAAATGATCTATTTTTCATAATATAGCATATAAGTCGAAGGGTTTTTCCAGTTACAATAATGGTTTTGGTAAATAATAATGACATATATTCTCGAAACATGTATATATAGTATACTGAATTCCGATATTTTCCAGTGTCTTATTACATATCGGTAAGTGCCTCGAATGTATATATATGTATATAATTGTAAATATATATCATCTTGTTGTATATATTTCCACATCTTTCAGAATACCAAATTTGAAAGAATAAACTTTCTGTGAATAATATACGTTTTATATTTTCCTACTAGTATAAGCATGGGTGTTGGACTTGTGTGTGACCATTGAAGAAAACATGTGGAGTTTTTTACATAGGTATGTAATGAAGTTTCACTCCTTAGTGAAAATGTTTTTATTAACATGACAACTAATTATTGATGTTAATATTTCCATGAAGTAATATTGATTGATTAAAGCGTTCAGAGGATATAAAACATGAGCATGAGTTTGTTAAATGATTCAATCATTTGAATACTTGGAAGTTGCAAAAAATCCTACAAGATGAGAAACTATAGAATTAATAATTCAAAGATGTCACAAAAATACAAATGATTTTTTTCAGGTATATCATCACTGCTTACACGAAACAAGATACGACTTTTTGTGTGGTAACTACACTGCCTTTGATCAAAGAACATTCATTTGCCATTTTGCATCTGAAGTCGACTGCAACAACTCCAAGAAATATTGGCACAGGTACCTCTACTACCAATGTTTTCAGATAAACAAGGTCTCTATAAATTATCGTAGAATCGCAGTGACCGTTGAAATACTTTACTATTGATTCACCGCTTTCCACTTATGAAGCTCGAACTATAACACATTCGGTCGCTTAATGCCTGTAAACAAACATAAGCAGCACTGAGCGGCACTCTTTCAATGGCCACTATGTTGCTACGATAATTTATAGAAACCCTGCATGTATAATCCTTCTTTGAAGTTCTCAATAACTAGCTCCATTTCAACTGCTCATTCACTATTCAAAGTATCGTTGTGCGGTTTGGACTTCTCTATTTTGATATTCTTCAAGTTTTTTGACTGGTTCACCTTTTCACCTGAACTTCCGGTTCTACCGGAAACAAACAAGCCATTATTCAGGTATAGGGCAACTTTGATAACATTGCATAATCTCATCAAACCATTCCACAAGCAGTAGTTGTTTCAAAGAGTTATAACTCTAATAGTTTTCTAGGAGAACATAACTTGTAATACATTGTTAGATAGAGAAAATACCAGTCTTTCTGAATGTGCAAAAATATACAGGGTGATTCAATGAAATGAAAAAAGTTGCCCTATACCTGGAATATTGCTCGTTTGTTTCCGGTAGAACCGGAAGTTCAAGTGAGAAGATGAACACGTCAAAAAAAACTTGAAAAACATCAAAATAGACTAGTCCAAACCGCACAACGAGAACTTGAATGGTTTCAGAGATATGAGCATTTTAAATGGGTCAGAATATAACTGGTCACCCGGTATTTTTAGAAATTTGAGATAGCCTCAAATATTTTACCCAATTTACTAAATGTATCTCCAAGCTTAATATGCTACAATCTGCTGTAATCAAACGCAATTAGTAAAAAAATTAATTCGAATTTTTTCTTTCAGAAATGATGCTTTATACAAAGCCGCCAGTACCACAACCGTTAAACCAATAATATACACTACCGCTCCCCCAATTCAAACACCAACAGACGGCTTAGCACCTCCTGTTGGATCAGGCCCGAGAAGAATCCGGCCATATCGCAGAAGGAGGCCGCAATATGATTATTACGATGATTATTATGATTTCTTTTATGAAGACAGGCCCAGATCTCGAGGGCGGAAGAGACCTAGACCTCGACCTAGACCCATATACGATGACGAATACGAAGAAGAATACGAAGAAGAACGTTACGAAAAAAGAGGGGGAGGAAGAAGAAACGAGAACAGAAGACCATACGAGAGAAGGCCAAATGCCGGGAGGGTGAGAAATAAAGAAAGGCCTAGGTTAGATTACGAAGACGAAGACAGTGAAACAAAATACGAGGATGATATAGAGCTGAGTAAGTTTAAACTGGAGGCCACAAGTGAGACATAGAATAACGTTATAATTTTTTTGAATGTTTCAGGTAGGAGAAAACCTGTTGGGTCGAAAGAATCAAAAAGCAAGTATTATGGAAGAAGGCACCCTACAGGCAGTGAAAGCGAAGAACAAGTAGAAAAACCAAGGCCATCAGCTGAAAAAATTCGTGAAAAAAGTAAACCATCTCCGGACACTAGAGCAATTATAAAACCTGTCAGCGGGACCATTTATGATCGACCTAGGTTGGCACCAAAAATAAGGCTTCCTGTCCCTAAGAACGAGGCTGAAAAATATGCCTACAAGCCGCTAATACCAAAAGAGCCTGTTCCTCAAGAAAATATTGAGTACGATGATGACTATGTAGAAATAGAGGCATCTAATTATGATAAAAAGAAACTTGGGGAACGCGAATCTAACGAGAAACCTATAAAAAAATCGAATCCAAGAACAAGCACCAGGAAACATCCTCAAATTGCGGAAAACACTTCAAGGAATAATACTCCGAAACGCCGTCCAAAACCTGAATATGAAGATTACGAAGACGACTACGACTATGCAATAGATGCCAGGCCAAACCCAACGGAAGACATAATGAAGGCGACACCCAAAACGTCAACTAGCACTCATACGAAGATTACTACGACTACAACCCATACCACCCCAACCACCACCACCACTACCACCATGGCACCAATAGAGAAAATTGAACAACCTTTAATAAGGTTGGTCAAACGACCATTCTTGCCAAGCCGTGGTGGTAATCCATACTCGGCAAGAGGTCTCAAACCAGTTGGAGCTAAAGCTGCACCAAATGCTAGAGAAAACAGTGAAGTTTTTAACAAAGAACTTGGTAACAGGGACAATTATCATAGCGAATTTACACCAACGGAGGTTATTTTGGACTCGCTGATGAAAACCAGAATTGTATCAGCTGTCTCAAGAGATAATCACGAAGAAGGGGAAGATCCTCGGCCAGCTGTCCCAACAGATAATTATCAACGAGGGGTAGATTCTCGGCAGAATTTTCAAAAACCAGACGAATATCAATCTCAGCCTCATAAATTGCCAGCAAAGAATCCTTTGGATATTGCCATCGACGAGTATGATATAACACTCAATGATGCTCTTAATCCTACTCTACCCAACCTTCCAGTTAGAGGATATCCAACTGGATTTGATGTCGTTAATAACGAATATATTTATAACAATAATAATTATAGGCCTAGATATCCCCAAGATCAAGTAGTCGCCACAGCAAGTAATGGATATATCTACAAGCCTAAGCCTGCTGACCAGCGTTTTGAAGTACAAACTCATAGTAATTTTGGTAACACCAATTACCAAGCCCACTACAGCCCGATTCGAGAAAATTATAGACCTAGACAATATCAAAGTACTGAAGCTCTTTATTCGAGATATTGATTGTTTGCTCAACAGCCATATTTTATTTCAATTTAAATCATTGAGTATCAGCGATATATGCGTATTACCATTCAAAGGTGATGCTTCGGATTGGATACATAAAAAAAGCTGATGATTGATCGCATATGGAAGCTATGAAATCGAGTCACATATCTCAATGACAATATATATGATAATTTGTTCCAGCTTGAATTCCGACGAAACGCGATGCAGAAGATAATTGAAATAATTTATTCAATGTTCAAGTCTGGAAAACAAAATTTTAGTGAAAAATAAACCCCTATTTGGAACAGGATAGTCACAGAGTGACTTAATTTTGGTCAAAATGAAGTTACAAATATATCTTTTGAGTAGGTACCTGGTACCTGCCTACCTATAAGCTCTATTTATAGGTTATCACCTAAGATTCAGTCGTATTTTTAAATTCGTATGAGAGCTTCAAAATCTATGTCAGTTACCTGCAGATACTCCAGTGAGATTGTGATTTCTAAATACATTCTAAAACATAATTTACTTTCATTTTACCCATCCTCGAAAAAAACTTCCACAATTTTTATAGCCTTTGAGGACAATTTCCAATGATGACTATATCAATACATATTCTCGAAAACTTGGGAAACTAACGTGTTCTGCCAAAATTGGAAACCAGTATAATACATTTTCAAAATCGTCAACATTTATAGGTATATCATAACTGTCTCTTTGGTGTAAGATACGACTTCCTATGTGCCAACTATACAGCTTTTGATCAAACTTTGTTCAACTGTAATTTCGTTTCCAACGTCGACTGCCAGAATTCCAAAAAGCACTGGTATAGGTGAGCAGTCATCTACCAAATCATAAGTTCCCCAACTCAATCCAAAAACCTAATTTTCAGAAATGACGACCTTTACAAGGCCGCTAGTACAACTGCAGCACCTGCGCCGTACAATTTTTATACCCAAGCCCCTCCATTGTACCCTCTGACTGCTTCACCAAGCCTGAGGTCACCACAAGGGAATTACTTCTCTCGAAGACTGCCTCCTGTTCAGCAAGTTCCTGTAGGTCAGCCCGTTCCTGCAGATCAACTCATTCCACTGCCGGCGCCGGTAGAACCCCCAGTAGAACAACGACCCCAACCAAGGCCTCAAGACAAATTGAGGCCTCGATTGGATTATTACGATACAGATGACTATGAAGAAAGACCTAGGGTGATGTATAGGAGAAAGAGGCCACGACCGAGACCAGTTTACTATGACGACTACGACTATTACGATGAGAGGCCTTATAGGAGGCCTGATGGTCGTCGGAGGAGACCATTAGATAGACGACCTATAGCACCAATTAAAAGAAATCAAGGCAGGAGGGTGAAATATGAGTACGAAGACGATGAGATAGTTGATGATAGGATTGAGGACGACAGATTTGTGGATGATGTTTCCGAAGGTAAAGGTTGATGCAACCATGCGTTCTATCGGCTTGAGTTTCACCTCATCATTAAAAATTCATACATTTTGAAAAATTGAATTGATATTTCGTATAGCTAGGAATATAATATTGTTTACTGTTTCACACATATTAAATAAGACAGGTAAACTCTATTTAGTCTATTCTGAAGAATGGATTGAGTCCCTATATTATATAAAATCACGTTCCAATGACAAATTTGTTACGTTCACTTGCTCCGTTAGGTACTCATTTTATTTTATGCCCCTTCCTTGAGGTGTCAGACATATCATTATGAAGTTATTGAATAGGTAGATCATTCTCTATTTTTCTTGTCCTCTGGTGCTCGCGCGTTTCTTTTCGCAAGCATATTTTGCAGCACACAACACTTGACCTAACTTTACGAGTTTTTTTTTTTTGTTCAGTATGTAAGAAAAAATGGGTTTCATGTTTTTTTTCTGTGCCTACCTCTACGTCTTGAAAGTATCACCCCTTCAACTCTCTTTGATAGTAGAAAAAAAAATGAAAACCTATTGGAAGCTTCTTTTCTTTCTCGAATCAACTGATATATTTTCATCGCCTCAGAGAATACACAGGGAGCAGGAAAAATTGTGAACATTCTCATTGAAAACGCCTTATATATTTCTTCACCATAACAAAGACTTCTCGAAAGGCTCCCTGAAGATACTCCACTCAATAAACCAGTTGGTTAATGTCTCTGTGTTTCAACATTAGTGTTGGACTGATTCATGTTTTCACCGTTTTAAATGGAGATATTCTTACAGGGAATCGAAAACGTGGTAGAGAGGAAGAACGACCAGTATACAACAGAAGAAGGCAACCAAGTCGATACAAGCGACCGATTGAGGATGATCTCGACGATTATGAGGAAGACTATGCGGCTAAAGAGAAGCGCAGAAGACAGCCCCCGATCAGTCCAGATTATGATGACGAGCCACTACCAACTAACAAAAAAGGTACGAATTCAGATAATGCTCGAATAAGTCCAGAAGAGTCCAGAGTTATGATAAAACCGAAAACGGGTACCCTTTACGACCGCCCGAGAGTGGCACCAAGGATAAATTTACCGGTGCCGAAAAATGTAGCGAAAAAATATGCGTACAAACCCGAGGAGTCGGATACATTATACGACGATAACAGTTCAGTTCAAAGTACTTCTGAACGTGTCAGTACAACAACTGAATCTCCTCAAGAATTAACAACAGCAAGAAAGCGACCAGTGAATCCCAGAAGAAATAACCGAAACAGATCTGGCTCAAATATTGAAGGAAAAGCAAGAAACGCTAGTGCTGAAGACGACGAGATTCAAGAAAAACGTGCAGACATGAAACAAGCGCCTATTATCGTACAGAGCCCCTTATTGTCTGATGTACCAACAGAAGAGTGTTCACGAAATTGCAGAGGAGGAAGTCGAAATGCTCAAAGCGTTTCTAGAAGCAAAAGTAATCCTCAGAAAACAAGAATGAAAGTATTTAGAACTCTCGTTTCAAACAGGAACGCTTATGATACTGAAACTGAGTCGAGAGATGATGAAAAAATAATAGATATAGATAAGCTGTATGGAAAGTATGATGCGTCACTTAATGAAGCCTAACGGTGATCTTAATTTTGAGGTTCCATTCTCATCTCAATTGGATCACATGGTTTTTGAAATACATCCCAACTCATACAAGGTTCTGGAAGCCTATACATTTCTTCTTCACATTTTCTGGTATACTTATTCAAATCATCATTCTTGCTAATTGCTTATAATACCGTGTTATTTGATAACATGAGAATCATACTTCTCAAAAACAAATGTTCAACTCAACTCAAAAGATGTTTTGAGTTTTCAATATATTTTACCTATTTAAATACCAGAGGATATCCCGAGACACCCCTCATATATTTACTGATATAGGTATCATATAATTTTATTATGAAATTAGTGAATCTGATTTCAAAAGTAGGAAAGTTTTCATTATTTGAAATATGAAATAAAAGAAATATTATTATCGAATAATATAAATTAAAAATAGTACAAGAACATTATGACATTAATCACTTATTGAGATTATTATTATAATAGTACCATTAAGGAAATAAATTCTTATACTTTAAAATGTATTTTTATGTTTCTTGCAGGGCCCTGAAGACCATGCACAACAGTTCCTCCTGCTTCCTTACACCTAGAACAGTAATACCTATATAATACTATGAATAGTACTCAGCTCAAAAGAATGATATCCTTATTTGAAATTGATTTTACTTCATATTCTGATAGGAAACTTTTCCAATCAATTCTTAATAAAAGTTAATAATCCACCACACTTTATCCATCCAACCATATAATATTATTTAGGTGACACATACCTCTTGGAATGTACATACAGCTCATCTGCTAATAGTTTCCAGGAAACTGTGAGCTAACATCACAATTGAAAATACACTTCCTTTGGTCCCATCAGTGAGCTTTTAATAAGGTGGGCGTGAAAATAGGTGTGTGATTTTGAGAGAATAATTCGAGAATTCACAAGATGATAAAAACTATCACCAAATGATGGCACTGTCAAGGCAATATCACCATTCACTCTGGTGGTCATATCATTAGTTATAACAATCTAAAATTGATAAGTAGAAATGGTAACAGACAATATCTTTTCAGTTAGTTAGCTACTCACTGCGAAGTCATGTTTATCAGCTAGAGATTTTAGTTCCATGAATATTTTACTGATTATATTCAACCTATTTGTAGCTTCTAATTTTCTGAGTGGATTTGATATACTATCTATAACTACTAGTTTAATCTAAAACAGTAAAGTGAAATATAACTAGCATTCACTATATTCAATGTCATCACTACCTATTCCACTCACATTTTTGTGTGACAAAAAATTACCCAATTGAGCTAAGCATCCAATCAACTCAATAGCAGAATCAATTTTCACAAAATGTATATTCCTCAGAATTATTTTCTCATTGAATTGAAAGGAATTATCACCTTTAATATTGTCATAAAGGTGTGCAAAGTTTCTTGCCATTTCTGAAAATACATGAATAAAACTATATGAAAAAATTTGATAGATTAATGAGTCACCTCCTAGCCTCTCAACTGAGAAATTAAAGTTAGTGCTTATATAGAGGGATTGCCCTCCAACTCCACCAATAAATTTTGGTAGCTGGACTGAGATGCATAACTGGAAACTAAATAATCTTATTCATACATGGATAGTAATATCTGGTGATATATTCAAAAGAAAATCTCTGAATCTATGAAATTTGAAATTTTATGGAGATGACTCAAGAATATTCATGATCCCCACTTATCATCATTATCATGGTGGTTTGTAAGATAAAGACTTATTATGAATAGATACCAGACCAACTCCCTGAAAAAATTATCAAGTCATCAAAAATTTTATATTCAAAACATAATAACCAACAGGAAGTTACAATGGGGTTCTAAGAACCCCATTGTCAAACATTGAACAGATTCAATGGAATGAAAGAAAATAATATTAAATATATATATACATATATATATATTATATACAACAGTGTGACACATTTAAAATGGAACCACCCCTGTATCTTATGTAAGGTTAAGGATCCTGAAATTTGCTGGAGCGAGAGATATACCAAAAATGCACTCTATGACCAAGTGGGGTCATCTTCAGTGATATACACTGCTCGCCAACAGCCATGAAACCACCCCAATTTCCGGAAAATGATATTAGTAGTCAAAATAGGTTGAAAATCACGTCGGATTCGGAATCAGGACGCCCAAGTTACTAACTATTCAAAGTTTTCCTAGAAGATTTTCAGTTCAGTAAAATTAAAATTTGTCTCACTTCTCATGGAAGCACCCCCGTATCTCACGTAATTATTGAGGTAGGGTTCTGAAATTTGCCGGAGGAAGAGAAAGTCCATAGATAAATTCAATTACGTGAGATACGGGGGTGCTTCCATAAAAAATGAAAATTTTCCAGGAAAAATTTGAATAGTTAGTAACTTGGGCGTCCTGATTCCGAATCCGACGTGATTTTCAACCTATTTTGACTCCTAATATCATTTTCCGGAAAAAGGGGTGGTTTCATGGCTGTTGGCGAGCAGTGTATATCACTGAAGATGACCCCACTTGGTCATAGAGTGCATTTTTGGTATATCTCTCGCTCCAGCAAATTTCAGGATCCTTACCCAACGATTACCTAAGATACAGGGGTGGTTCCATTTTGAATGGGTGTAAACGAATCAATTAGACAAAAGCAATAACTTCTAGAATGTTTGGTGTAACAAAATGAGAAGTGAAATATGATATGTGAAGAACAAAGTTTTCACATGTTTTTCACTTATTCCGGTTTCACCGAAAATGGCTCCAGTTTTGAATTTTTAAATGGAACACCCTGTATATTGAAATATTTTTGAATTCCTGAGACAATTCTGGATAAGAATATGACATTTTCCGAAGTTTTTACGCCTACTTCATTTTTATAGAGTCAATTTTAATATTGGATCTAGGTGGCCATGATCTGAGTGAACTTATCAAAGGACCTTAGGTGATGTCAATTATAACCACAAAGTTTTAGTGCCTAGTATGATAGATAGGAAGAAGACGACAAGGTGACAAAATTACATTTTTGTATCTAACTATTATTTTTCAAATGGCAATGGCAACCATTTTTTGACAAACAGATTTTGAAAAGAGGTTAAAAAATGGTTGCCATCTGAAAAATAATAGTTAGACACAAACAGGACCGGAAGAAAGATTGAAATTTCATCTCTGTTGACAGGTTATAAAATGAATGTCACTGTTCACAGGAAGAAAGTGAGCACTTTTTTCCCGGATATATATCACATATATACACTGTTGATGGCTATTGTTGTGCTATAGTTCTGAAAAATAAGCCAATAACATCATCTCCCAGAAAGTCCATTTATTTTCCAATCCATTTCTTGATTATGTAAATTACCAAACAACCACTAAATCGGCAATTTTTAAAAATCAAATCACAGATTTAGATTGACATATATTTGATTTTTAATTTGAAATTCAAAATTTCATGTAGATAATTTTCTGATTTTATTATAATGTAATATCTTCTCAATATTGATTCATCCTTTTTCCTGTCACTGATAAAAATAGTGTATTTTACATGGGAAAAATAATAGATTTTAGCTCACGGTTTTTTGTCTCCCTCCACTACACATCAGGAGACAAGAAAAATTAATGAAAATTGTCAACTTGTGTTCTTTTTATCTATCATACTAGTCAGTAAAACTTTGATTATAGTTTTCAGACAACACTTGGTGGTCCTTAGATAAGTCTGATCATGGGCCACCTAGATGCAATATGGATGCAATATTAAAATAGTGATTCTGAAAAAATGAAGTAGGCCTAACACTTCTGGAAATGTTATAATCTGATAGGTATTCAAAAATGTTATAATGTACAGGGCCCGGTACAGGGTGTTCCATTTGAAAATTCAAAACTGGAGCCATTTCCAGTGAAACCAGAAGTGACCATAGGAAAAACATACAAAAACTTTCCCCTTCACATATACTGACATTGAATTTCATTTTGATACACCAAATATTCTAGAAGTTATGGCTTACCTAATAGATTCATTGACACCTGGTATGTTGTAAAAAGAGCAGGAGGAATGAGTCATTTACTTATGTGAAGTTAGCGCCCGACGCTAGCGCTCAAACGTAGCGCCCTCCCCCCACCACAGCGCCCAGTTTACACTACACAATTTACTTTTAGGGCGCTAGCGCTACGAAATACGAAACATCGAAGATATGATTACGTGATTCCTCTCGTGCTGGGTACAGATCTCTAGAACATTCTAGTGATGGCGTCATATGAAAAATACAAATACCCCCCCCCCTGGATGATTTTTTTTTCTAATAGAAGGAAGGAAGCTGGAAGGAAGGAACTTGTGTGACGGTTTTTCGTAGAGTAGACATCGATATAGAGTGTGATAACTATTTTATGCAAAAATTTCAGATCTCCAAAAAGATGGCGTCATATAAAAATACCCCCACCATTCCTAAATGGAAATAATTTTTTTCTAATAGAAGGAACTTTTGTGACGGATTTTCGTAGAGTAGACATCGATATACAGTGTGATAACTATTTTATGCCAAAATTTCAGATCTCCAAAGTGATGGCGTCATATAAAAATACCCCTACCATCCCTAAATGAAAATATTTTTTTCCTAATAGAAGGAACTTCTGTGACGGATTTTCGTAGAGTAGGCATCGATATACAGTGTGATAACTATTCTATGCCAAAATTTCAGATCTCCAAAGTGATGGCATCATAAAAAAATACCCCCACCACTCCTGAATGAAAATAATTTTTTTCTAATCGAAGGAACTTTTGTGACGGATTTTCGTAGGGTAGGCATCGATATACAGTGTGATAACTATTTTATGCCAAAATTTCAGATCTCCAAAGTGATAGCATCATAAAAAAATACCCCCACCATTCCTGAATGAAAATATTTTTTTCCTAATAGAAGGAACTTCTGTGACGGATTTTCGTAGAGTAGGCATCGATATACAGTGTGATAACTATTCTATGCCAAAATTTCAGATCTCCAAAGTGATGGCATCATAAAAAAATACCCCCACCATTCCTGAATGAAAATAATTTTTTTCTGATAGAAGGAACTTTTGTGACGGATTTTCGTAGAGTAGACATCGATATACAGTGTGATAACTATTCTATGCCAAAATTTCAGATCTCCAAAGTGATGGCATCATGAAAAAATCCCCCCACCATTCCTGAATGAAAATATTTTTTTCCTAATAGAAGGAACTTCTGTGACGGATTTTCGTAGAGTAGGCATCGATATACAGTGTGATAACTATTCTATGCCAAAATTTCAGATCTCCAAAGTGATGGCATCATAAAAAAATACCCCCACCATTCCTGAATGAAAATAATTTTTTTCTAATAGAAGGAACTTTTGTGACGCATTTTCGTAGGGTAGATATCGATATACAGTGTGATAACTATTTTATGCCAAAATTTCAGATCTCCAAAGTGATGGCGTCATATAAAAATACCCCCACCATTCCTAAATGGAAATATTTTTTTTCTAATAGAAGGAACTTTTGTGACGGATTTTCGTAGGGAAGACATCGATATACAGTGTGATAACTATTTTATGCCAAAATTTCAGATCTCCAAAGTGATGGCGTCATAAAAAAATACCCCCACCATTCCTAAATGGAAATAATTTCTTTTAAAAAGAAGGAACTTTTGTGACGGATTTTCGTAGGGTAGATATCGATATACAGTGTGATAACTATTTCATGCCAAAATTTCAGATCTCCATAGTGATGGCGTCATACAAAAATACCCCTACCATTTCTGAATGAATTTAATTTTTTTCTAATCGAAGGAACTTTTGTGACGGATTCTCGTAGGGTAGACATCGATATACAGTGTGATAACTATTTTATGCCAAAATTTCAGATCTCCAAAGTGATGGCGTCATATAAAAATACCCCTACCATTCCTAAATGGAAATATTTTTTTTTCTAATAGAAGGAACTTTTGTGACGGATTCTCGTAGGGTAGACATCGATATACAGTGTGATAACTATTCTATGCCAAAATTTCAGATCTCCAAAGTGATGGCATCATGAAAAAATCCCCCCACCATTCCTGAATGAAAATATTTTTTTCCTAATAGAAGGAACTTCTGTGACGGATTTTCGTAGAGTAGGCATCGATATACAGTGTGATAACTATTCTATGCCAAAATTTCAGATCTCCAAAGTGATGGCATCATAAAAAAATACCCCCACCATTCCTGAATGAAAATAATTTTTTTCTGATAGAAGGAACTTTTGTGACGGATTTTCGTAGAGTAGACATCGATATAGAGTGTGATAACTATTTTATGCAAAAATTTCAGATCTCCAAAAAGATGGCGTCATATAAAAATACCCCCACCATTCCTAAATGGAAATAATTTTTTTCTAATAGAAGGAACTTTTGTGACGGATTTTCGTAGAGTAGACATCGATATACAGTGTGATAACTATTTTATGCCAAAATTTCAGATCTCCAAAGTGATGGCGTCATATAAAAATACCCCTACCATCCCTAAATGAAAATATTTTTTTCCTAATAGAAGGAACTTCTGTGACGGATTTTCGTAGAGTAGGCATCGATATACAGTGTGATAACTATTCTATGCCAAAATTTCAGATCTCCAAAGTGATGGCATCATAAAAAAATACCCCCACCACTCCTGAATGAAAATAATTTTTTTCTAATCGAAGGAACTTTTGTGACGGATTTTCGTAGGGTAGGCATCGATATACAGTGTGATAACTATTTTATGCCAAAATTTCAGATCTCCAAAGTGATAGCATCATAAAAAAATACCCCCACCATTCCTGAATGAAAATATTTTTTTCCTAATAGAAGGAACTTCTGTGACGGATTTTCGTAGAGTAGGCATCGATATACAGTGTGATAACTATTCTATGCCAAAATTTCAGATCTCCAAAGTGATGGCAAAATAAAAAAAATCCGTCACAAAAGTTCCTTCTATTAGGAAAAAAATATTTTCATTCAGGAATGGTGGGGGGATTTTTTCATGATGCCATCACTTTGGAGATCTGAAATTTTGGCATAGAATAGTTATCACACTGTATATCGATGTCTACTCTACGAAAATCCGTCACAAAAGTTCCTTCTATTGGGAAAAAAATATTTTCATTCAGGAATGGTGGGGGGATTTTTTCATGATGCCATCACTTTGGAGATCTGAAATTTTGGCATAGAATAGTTATCACACTGTATATCGATGTCTACTCTACGAAAATCCGTCACAAAAGTTCCTTCTATTAGGAAAAAAATATTTTCATTCAGGAATGGTGGGGGGATTTTTTCATGATGCCATCACTTTGGAGATCTGAAATTTTGGCATAGAATAGTTATCACACTGTATATCGATGCCTACTCTACGAAAATCCGTCACAGAAGTTCCTTCTATTAGGAAAAAAATATTTTCATTCAGGAATGGTGGGGGGATTTTTTCATGATGCCATCACTTTGGAGATCTGAAATTTTGGCATAGAATAGTTATCACACTGTATATCGATGTCTACTCTACGAAAATCCGTCACAAAAGTTCCTTCTATCAGAAAAAAATTATTTTCATTCAGGAATGGTGGGGGTATTTTTTTATGATGCCATCACTTTGGAGATCTGAAATTTTGGCATAGAATAGTTATCACACTGTATATCGATGCCTACTCTACGAAAATCCGTCACAGAAGTTCCTTCTATTAGGAAAAAAATATTTTCATTTAGGGATGGTAGGGGTATTTTTATATGACGCCATCACTTTGGAGATCTGAAATTTTGGCATAAAATAGTTATCACACTGTATATCGATGTCTACTCTACGAAAATCCGTCACAAAAGTTCCTTCTATTAGAAAAAAATTATTTCCATTTAGGAATGGTGGGGGTATTTTTATATGACGCCATCTTTTTGGAGATCTGAAATTTTTGCATAAAATAGTTATCACACTCTATATCGATGTCTACTCTACGAAAATCCGTCACAAAAGTTCCTTCTATCAGAAAAAAATTATTTTCATTCAGGAATGGTGGGGGTATTTTTTTATGATGCCATCACTTTGGAGATCTGAAATTTTGGCATAGAATAGTTATCACACTGTATATCGATGCCTACTCTACGAAAATCCGTCACAGAAGTTCCTTCTATTAGGAAAAAAATATTTTCATTCAGGAATGGTGGGGGGATTTTTTCATGATGCCATCACTTTGGAGATCTGAAATTTTGGCATAGAATAGTTATCACACTGTATATCGATGTCTACCCTACGAGAATCCGTCACAAAAGTTCCTTCTATTAGAAAAAAAAATATTTCCATTTAGGAATGGTAGGGGTATTTTTATATGACGCCATCACTTTGGAGATCTGAAATTTTGGCATAAAATAGTTATCACACTGTATATCGATGTCTACCCTACGAGAATCCGTCACAAAAGTTCCTTCGATTAGAAAAAAATTAAATTCATTCAGAAATGGTAGGGGTATTTTTGTATGACGCCATCACTATGGAGATCTGAAATTTTGGCATGAAATAGTTATCACACTGTATATCGATATCTACCCTACGAAAATCCGTCACAAAAGTTCCTTCTTTTTAAAAGAAATTATTTCCATTTAGGAATGGTGGGGGTATTTTTTTATGACGCCATCACTTTGGAGATCTGAAATTTTGGCATAAAATAGTTATCACACTGTATATCGATGTCTTCCCTACGAAAATCCGTCACAAAAGTTCCTTCTATTAGAAAAAAAATATTTCCATTTAGGAATGGTGGGGGTATTTTTATATGACGCCATCACTTTGGAGATCTGAAATTTTGGCATAAAATAGTTATCACACTGTATATCGATATCTACCCTACGAAAATGCGTCACAAAAGTTCCTTCTATTAGAAAAAAATTATTTTCATTCAGGAATGGTGGGGGTATTTTTTTATGATGCCATCACTTTGGAGATCTGAAATTTTGGCATAGAATAGTTATCACACTGTATATCGATGCCTACTCTACGAAAATCCGTCACAGAAGTTCCTTCTATTAGGAAAAAAATATTTTCATTCAGGAATGGTGGGGGGATTTTTTCATGATGCCATCACTTTGGAGATCTGAAATTTTGGCATAGAATAGTTATCACACTGTATATCGATGTCTACTCTACGAAAATCCGTCACAAAAGTTCCTTCTATCAGAAAAAAATTATTTTCATTCAGGAATGGTGGGGGTATTTTTTTATGATGCCATCACTTTGGAGATCTGAAATTTTGGCATAGAATAGTTATCACACTGTATATCGATGCCTACTCTACGAAAATCCGTCACAGAAGTTCCTTCTATTAGGAAAAAAATATTTTCATTCAGGAATGGTGGGGGTATTTTTTTATGATGCTATCACTTTGGAGATCTGAAATTTTGGCATAAAATAGTTATCACACTGTATATCGATGCCTACCCTACGAAAATCCGTCACAAAAGTTCCTTCGATTAGAAAAAAATTATTTTCATTCAGGAGTGGTGGGGGTATTTTTTTATGATGCCATCACTTTGGAGATCTGAAATTTTGGCATAGAATAGTTATCACACTGTATATCGATGCCTACTCTACGAAAATCCGTCACAGAAGTTCCTTCTATTAGGAAAAAAATATTTTCATTTAGGGATGGTAGGGGTATTTTTATATGACGCCATCACTTTGGAGATCTGAAATTTTGGCATAAAATAGTTATCACACTGTATATCGATGTCTACTCTACGAAAATCCGTCACAAAAGTTCCTTCTATTAGAAAAAAATTATTTCCATTTAGGAATGGTGGGGGTATTTTTATATGACGCCATCTTTTTGGAGATCTGAAATTTTTGCATAAAATAGTTATCACACTCTATATCGATGTCTACTCTACGAAAAACCGTCACACAAGTTCCTTCCTTCCAGCTTCCTTCCTTCTATTAGAAAAAAAAATCATCCAGGGGGGGGGTATTTGTATTTTTCATATGACGCCATCACTAGAATGTTCTAGAGATCTGTACCCAGCACGAGAGGAATCACGTAATCATATCTTCGATGTTTCGTATTTCGTAGCGCTAGCGCCCTAAAAGTACTGAAAATTGTGTAGTGTAAACTGGGCGCTGTGGTGGGGGGAGGGCGCTACGTTTGAGCGCTAGCGTCGGGCGCTAACTTCACATAAGTTGAGTCATTTCCCATGAGTACTACTGTAACACAATGAAGTCATTGCTTTATCAGGTAAGTAAATGAAAGTGAAGACATACCTACAATGTACCTCATTGTTTTATTGAACATATAGCTAAGAAGGAGCAATTTTGTGTTGCAGCTATAAAAATTAATCCTAGATTCCTTATATGGAATATATATATAGATCAAAGATCTACCCACAACTTGAGGAATGATAAATAATAATTATATTTACCATAACTGAGTCTTTCCAGATCCAGAATGTCCTGTTAATTCAACAACTGATTTAGTAACCATCACATTCTTAAGGATTTCATCAAGTTTTTCATTGTAACTCAAAATTGTTCCATTCTGTATATCTTCTTGGTATAGTGAGAATGCTGTTTTATATCCACTGGAAAACTTATCCCTAGGATATGAAGTACCTGCACTCTCCATCTTTGCATTTTTATATCAAAGGCCACTACTTTCTCAAATTCTCATTTTGTCTGATCATTATTTCTTCATCTGTATGTGATAATCGTTATTTCAAATTCAAAACACATCAAAAGATATCTGGAAAGAGTGGAAACCTCAACTTTTCGCGCTCAGATATATACTTGGTTAACCACTTCTTCTAGTTCTTCTACTTTTCTTTTTGGAATCTCTCTTTACACGACTTTAGTTCTCACAGGTTTTTAGCGACGGTGGACCAAGCTAGATATTTTCAAATATACGGGGTGAACGCGCTAGGCTTACCAAAGGTTCCCACCTCTTTCCACATCGAATCAATGAAAAAAGTCCGGTTTTTCTTCATTTATTTTAAAAACAACTATACAGAAATGGTCAGAATCATAGCCCACTCATCTGTGAATAGGTACCTATTGAAGTTTTTCGAGTTTCCCTATACCTCTACTGTCACAACAAGTCCTATAAATGAATAAAACTTCATATGAACATATGTCGTGAACGTCTTAGCTTTTGATATACAGGGTGTCAATGTTGAAAATATGCATAGATTATTTTTTTGTCCACCCTGTATAGCTTTTCGTGATGGCAAAATTCAGTCTGCTTCAAAATGTTACATACGGTGGTTATCCAAATTTTCAGGAAAATCCTGCGGTGCGTTCTCCATAAATGTCTAACGTACCATCGACCGTGAGTTACCCTGTATAGATGAGTTATTCATTCAAATTGAAAATGACCGGACGTGTCGTTCATAATCCGTCATTTCCAGTTTCATAATAATGGTTCTTGACATTTTTTTCAATATAACCACTAATTGAACTTCATTATTTATATGTGAGTTATAAATCTCAGCATATATTTAATATGAGTTTCATTTCAATCGTGTAGTACGACAAATCAGATGATTTGCCCTAAAATGTCACTGCATGCGTTTAAAAAATTACAATTATAGAGAGCCCATAAGAAAAAAAATCCAATCTTTTGTCAGTGACATTTCGTTTTGAAAAATGTTTGAAGAAAAGGAACAGTTATATTGAAGAAATATCGAATGTTTGCTTATGCTTTCAATATAAAAAATGCAAAATAGTATTCCTTGAAAATTGTCTTCTATTATTATAGTGTGACACTTCTCATTGACAAAACTTTGATGTTGGCATACAAATGAGTTATTTAAAGGATAATTTCACAACTGAAAACTGAACATGAAATAGCAGATTTAAGGGTAGTTCAGAATTATGATTGTTGACCACCCTGTATCTATTTCAATTAAATATCAATTGATAGTACATCAAAAGTCAAGATGGCGACATGACAACCGTTTTGATCAATTATGAATAGTTTGGACACAAAAAATTGTTAAAGTTGAAAAATTTAGTTTTTTCACACCCTATATCTTTGTTATCATTCCCGCTATACCCCAAGTGTGATAGATCGATGGAATCAGCTCTTCAGGGAGAATCTGAAAATGGAATGATATATAGGGTGTTCCTTTGAAAAAATCGAAGTTGTTGCTTCTTTTCAATATGAGCGGCTACGTCGCAACGTTGAGAATATGTTAGGTCGATAGAACACAACTAATTATCCAAGGTACCAACTTTTCAGAATTCTGAGTTCTCCAGAAACGTCAAATGTGTCATCCTCCGTGAATAACCCCTCCTTTTTACAACTTTGATCGTCAATATATACCGTTAGCGAAAAGCTATCATCTTGCAGTTTTCGTTGGTCTGTTGAGATTGAGTTTCTCTATTTGATCGTGTAATAATATGCATAAATTACATTTTCAATTCACGATATCCATTGATACTCCAGATCACGCCGACAGCCGTTCTTAGTTGTTCATCTGGTACCTATACAGGGTGTTTCATGAGAAGACTCACATAGCCAAATGGTTAATAGGGGAAATCGAGACGAATTGATGTATATAAATGAAAACATTTTTTGACCCTCCATAACGAAGATACAGGGTATTATGCGAAGTTGTTATATAACTTTGATGGCCGATATTACAGAAATGATTCATCGTAATCTGCTGAAATTTGGCAGCGACGTTCCTCTACTGAAACTATTCAAGATAACATTATGAAAAAAAATATATCCAGGTCCGGACTTAAGAAAATTTCATGTTTCATTGTTATGTCAAAAAAGTTCTCTTTGTGACCACTTTTCTCGAAAAATTCCATCAGATTCAGAAAGATCAGACAAAATGCTATAAGAACTGCTCTTCAATTCACACGGCACACTTTGACCGGTTCAACAAAAAAATATGGAACAAAATCGTTCGAATAAATTTTGAAATTCGACCTGGCTGATAACTGTCAACTTTCAACTGGTATCATGTGAATTGATTTTTCGTACATTTTTGTTGAATAGTAATTGACAGAAGTATAGACGAGAGGAAAAAACACGATATTTTTTTATCGAAATTCCGGATAGATATTATTATTCCTGACTTTGTTTTATGGGTTTCAATAATTGAAGTAATGATAAAATATCTAGTAGGCCCTGTTTCCCATTTATGTGACGAGACGTGACGTTTGTTGATAATCCGAACTGATAGGTAGGTACTAGGCTAGTACTAGGTAGGTACCAACTGATGGAATTAGGACATGAGGATTCATGTGCCCATATTATGGTGATTCATCAAATTAGTTATGCCATCACGCATAAACACAGTTCCATTTTTGGTTATTGATACACTTCTGCAAGTGATATAAGGATGCATTAGCTATTTATTCGAAATTCCTTGTTCATCCTTGTGAAGGTTTTACTGCAATGTATTCTTGGGTCTGGAAATATTCTATGGTATTAAACATACAATCGCATTTAAATTTTCGTCTTGTTCAGCATTTGAAATATGAAGTGGCACCTAGAGTGCAAGAATATTTCGATTACCAGTGTTTACTTATCAACAAACGCCACCTTACATGAAGTAAACACAGGGCCTACTTTATAACAAATTAATAATATAGAGTCACGAGTAATCATATCCATCTAGAAGTTCGGTGAAAAACTAACATGTCAAATCATAAAAAAATCAGAACTATTCTCTTCTGTCAATTTTCAACTGATGAAAATGTACAAAAAAATCAGTTTACACGAATCCAGTTGAAAGAATTATCAGCCAGGTCCAAATTTAAAATTCATTCGAACGACTTTGTTCAATATTTTTTTATCGAACCGGTCAAAGTGTGCCGTGTAAATTGAGGAGCAGTTCTTATAGCATTTTGTCCGATCTTTCTGAATCTGATGGAATTTTTCGAGAAAAGTGGTCACAAAGTGAACTTTTTTGACATAACAATGAAACATGAAATTTTCCCAAGTCCGGACCTGGATATTTTTTTTTCATAATGTTATCCTGAATAGTTTCAGTAGAGAAACGTCGCTGCCAAATTTCAGCAGATTACGATGAATCATATCTGTAATATCGGCCATCAAAGTTATATAGCAATTTCACATAATACCCTGTATCTTCGTTATAGAGGGTCGAAAAATGTTTTCATATATATGCATCAACTCGTCTTGATTTCCCCTATTAACCATCTGGCTATGTGAGTCTTCTCATGAAACACCCTGTATATGAACCTCTTGATTTGTTTTTGTTCGTTGTACAATATTGACCACATAGGTACCATTCTTGCGATTTGTGCTCATACTGGAAGTTTCTGGGAAAGCAGGAAGAAAGCAACTGAGTGAATATCTTCATATTCATATATTCATAATATATAATAATATATATATTTATGCTTAATGGAGTGCGACAGTGTAATCCACTACCAACGCTGTCACAATCCACCTGACAGTGTAACTTTACAACAAAACGGTCTTTAAACGTGCCACCAAATATGTACATTGATATTAAAGCTTGACAAAAACACCTGCAATGAATGTTATCGAGCCCATCTATATGATGTAATAGTTTATATAATGTACTGCAGTTCATTGGAATATTGCTATAACGTTGTATCCTCGTCGTCTTGTGTATGACTTACGGCCTAATCCATTTACCATTTGGTTGATTTCTGGGTTTCAATTTGGATATGATTTGGTCAATGTTTCCTCGCTCGTGATGACTCTGTATTCAGACCTGAATAGTTCTGGGAAAAGCAAATGAGTGACAAGAATTTCGCAGCAGAATTAATCGGGTTTACTTACTTCTGATGATACAACAATTCTCAATCATTCTAACATTTTATTGCTCTAAACCTCGCTCTAAACCATCCGCCTTGCTCTATCATAGGTCATAATACAGGGTAAGCAGGATCCCTACAAGTTAGACTTTTGTATCGATTCGATTCATTTCAAGAATCAACTCTGAGTAATGGATGTATTCTAGGTAGATATTTTTGAGATATTATCTATGTCAAAATCAAATTACAAATATACATGCGAACACTGTACAAGTGTTAACAGTATCTGAGTGAAATAATAGATGGTTTACCATCAGAAGTTGTGAACACGATCAACTTTGCTGTATAAATGTAGTGAATTATTATCAGTTAGGTACCTATGATAAGGCTGTGTTATAAAAATGCCGCAAGCTGTATCTCCGCCAACTTTTAACCATTTTGTAATGAAGTAAACAAGCTCAATGGTTCGAAAACAATGAAAACTGGTACATTCATACAAATTTCTGAATTCCAAAACGAACCAGTACTTGATTTGTTTATTCATTTCGTTTGATTGGATGAAAAAAGCAGAATCGCAGTTAACGGCAATTATTATAAGATAGCCTGTATAATTGATAGTAGTAAGCTATATTCACCAGATGAAACAAGTTAACAAGTATACATGCATTGAAGTAAAGAATCGATAGATCCTCGGATGACATATCATTTCTCATTGCATTGAAATTTACATTTTCTCAGCTCAAATCTCAAATATTTCAATATTGATGATAGGATGATTAGTATGTATGTATTAATAGCATATCATGACATTTCTATCGACATACTTTTGGTACTGTTGATCTCTAATAAAAAGAACTTTTTTCAGTCACTGAATTTTTTTCTCAATTATTGCATTCAAATTCTAGATTTTTGCGCTTCATATTACTTTTGATATTTCGTTTGGTTCACGAGATATTTGATAAAACTCAATTAGATGCGTTATAAAAATGCTCATTTGATGTCGCTCGCAATTAATGAATCATTGAAGGATTCCACTTACTCTCTCTTTTCCGCACTTATTTCGGTGTTGAATATGTTTTAAAAATAGCAACTACAACGTTCTACATCTCCATAACTGACCGTAATAGAGCATTCATGTACATAGAAAGGATATCATCGACGTCTATCGATTCCTGGAGTATAACTCATTGAAACTTGAACAACCTGTGATTATCCTTTCTCTTTCAATCCTACTGATGAAAATAAGTAACATGCAAAAAAAGATAAACATTCTGAACTCAATATTAACAATTATTTCATACGAGACAAGAATTTATTCAACTACAATCATGATAATAGGTATTATAAATGAAATGAGAGCATTATTTGAGATACCAAGCATGTATCATTCCATAAAGAAAAACACTAACTGAAGAATGTTAAAGTAAAAATATAAATAAGTGTGAACCGTTATTTTGATAACCAATAACCAATAGCGCCAATAATTCTACTCAAAGATTTTGTAATTCTCAATCAGATGAAATTTAATATTAATCTTCATTCCAAATAGCAACAGTATATTGAACAATTGCCAATAATGGTTTAGGATGAAATCAAATTCCTCCAATGTATGGAATTAGGATGGTTATTTACTAATCATAGAAAAGAATTTTATTCAAATTGAATTTGTGCTATTTCTCAACATAATGAATTCAGAATTATCATTTGACAAACAACCTGTAAGAATACCAGGTTTTCCACAAATTACGATAAATCAATGAATGAAAATAAATATGTTGATAATTGAGAATCAATCATATTCAGAAATTCATAAAATTTTAGATACCTCACCAAATCCTTTCAAAGGTATGTAACTTCTTCAGGAAGGCTATCCTGAAAAAAGAAACAACGTACTGGACTCCTCGTAATTCTGATCAGGAATTACCTTTTCAAGTAAAATTATTGTTAATTGAAAACAGCCAATATCAAGCAAAATTAAAAATGAAAAATAATGCTGATTAGTAAGCATATGGAAGCTTACCATTTCTGTGGAAAGACAATTGATAGCATGCTCGACGGTTTTCTTGTGATGGGGCTTCGTGGAAGAATGGCCCTGCCTCAATGGTGTTGTGGGACAACCTATTGATCTTATTATTATTATCGATTACATTGTAAGAATACAATTATATATGCATTGTACACGTCCGGCATGAATACTTTTCCTATACAAGACATGAATAGGCATTATAGATTCATGGGTATTCAACAAATGGAGAAAAAAAGCGTTGTTGCTGTGCTGCCCCACCTACCTGGGTACGGCACGTGTGGCAAACGATAATCCCTTCCGTCAGTCCGAAAAATGGACTCGCTCGAAACAGGGATTAACGCGATACGAACATGAATATAATGCTTAACTTCATCACACAGTTTCTCTATAGAAAAATTATTCTTGCCAGACGTGTATGTGAAGAACGAAATGAAAATTTCAGGACAGGAATCGATTTTAGTTTGGGATTCATCAGATTTAAAAGATTTGAAATGTTAAATGTATCAGAAGCAAACGGCAAAACATACTCCATGCAATATATTCAAAAAACTATTTGTGTCAGATGAGTTGACATGTGATGAATGCAAATTGCAACAACAAAAAAAGTAATAATTGTCCAATCATTCATAGATAAATCAATACTACGAACTTTGTGGGAATCTTATAGTTTGTGAAGATTTCACTTTAACAATAGAATTTCATCAGCTAACGGCCAAGTCAACAAAAAAATAACAAAATCCAATGAGATTTACTTCACTTTGTCCATCTCAACTATGAAGACAGAATTAGAATAAGAACCCATAGGGAAGCGTTTGCCTTCGTTTTGATTGGTTAATAGTGGAGGCCAAATTACACCGGTCTAATATTATGACGTGACGTTATAAGGATAGTTTTATTTCTGGGAAGATAATCACAAATCATCACATTTCTTGTATCACTTGATAAATCCTGACATCAAATCCGAGTTCAAAGTGAAACTAAATCATTAGTATGGACACGATTTGGAATCGGACGCCATATTCTTATTTCGCCTTTAGAGGCAGCATGAGCAAACTCATCATCCTCTATACTATTCAGTTCTGTATTGACACCTTCAACTTACAGATGTTTCATTAGTAGGAAAAATGCAATATTAATATTCTAAACACTCGATCAGAAACCAAAACCTCTCAATACCACACAACTATACCAATTTCTAGTATAAAACGTGTCCAGAAAAAGTCTTTTATCAGGCCATGATGCCACTTCATCCATACCTATAAGCAAATAGTACCAAGACATAGCAAATGATAAAAAAATAACCAACTAGCAAGTTATCACATCTCATGGAATATTGTCTAAGTGTTCATTTGAAAACGTTCGCTTTTCTATACTTTGAAATATTGAAAAAATATATTGATTCATGCTGTTATGGCAACATTACTTCTTTCAGCTCGATTTTTCACATGATTTGTTTATAACTTGGAAAATACTATTCATAATAATATTAGACAGTAAAATAAGATTCATTCTCATGAATTAATCACTAGTTTTCTCTTAATTTTACTTTGAAAAGGTTTACCGTTTTCCACCACATTTCTATGCACCCGTTTCAATTCGAGTGAAGGATTTGAATTCGATTTCAAGGTATATAATTTTATTATTATTATAAAACTTTCATGAGTCAATAAAATGTGATGGATCTTCGATGAATATCAAGGACAATCCAGCTGGGACTAGAGTTCCTTAATGTTCATGACACTGCTGTTTAGACGTTTTGTATATTTAGGGTACTGACACTATGACAAGCACTGGCAGTCAGACATAACAATAAATAAATTGATGAAAGAAGCGTGAACTGACAGTACACGAACGTACATGATGAATTTCGAAGGTTTGTCGAATTGAGGAAATTGGGAAAAGTCCAACTGTAAAAATACTGGAAATTTAGTGAAACATATAGTCACTTTATGGAACTCTGATATACCCATTCAAGAGATGGATTGTTTGTGTATGGCTTCCTTCAAAGTTGAAATCCCAGGTCTGAACTCTGAAAATGTCCGTAGTTGAGAAGTGCGGGATGTCAACAAATTATAGTGGAATTTGAAAACTTCCTGAGGTGCCAAAAGATGCTGACCCGTGCACACCATTAATTGTTATTGAAAATGATCTTCCTATGGCCGAATTCGAACCAACGACCCCTCTAGCTCTATGAGCGAAAATGTGCCATCTGAGATTAAATTATGTTTTATTTCTTTATCTAAGCGAAAATCATATTCTTGTCCTTGTCTGACAAAATATATGATTTACTTCAAAATCGATTTAGATCATGTCTCACTGTCACTGCTTGTCGAGTGTCTGTACTCTCAATATACAAAAAGGCGTAGAGCCCTGAAAGTAAATCAATTCACAAAAAAACATCTAAATAAAGAATGCAATACGGTCCTGGGGCGTAAAACGGAAGCATATTGTCCTTTCTGTGAGTAATTAAAATGACACGATTTCAAAAATAATGAACATGAGCATTGCTCATTTTATGGCGAGAATATTGAAGAAAGTACTCAACACTAATAACTCTACAAATAATTGTAACTTTAGTTTAAACGGGATATTTGAGAAAACATATATGGGTGACTGTATGACATGTTTCACCATTTAGAGAATTTGGGTTATCCTAATGGCGATGTGAATGACGTCGATAGAATTACGCAATTAATTAATCATTCCAGAATTACGTCATTTGACAGGTTGCTGAGGGGAAAACATTGTATTTTGTCAAGATTTGTCATATAAAGAATTAGTGGGATAGTTTTTCTTGGAATCCGAGTTGGGAACAGAAAGAATTTCATAATTTTGTTTGGAGAAACTGTTATTATATTGTGGATGTGGCAGGGATGGCCAGGGATATGCTCTAATCAAAGGTAACCTAACAGATAGTTTGTGTGGCCCTCAAGAAATCATGTCAAAATCGCGTGTTCTAGAATGGTCAATAGAAAACGCCTGTGAGAGTGTTCATGAACAAAAATAATATATTTTTGCTAATATATCGCCGAGTCTCTTTGTGTATGCTTTATGTAAACATACCAGTTGCCAGAACGGTAAGTTTTCTATATTCCTTATGTCAGAGATTTCTGTTAGGACTTTTTTTGTGAAATGACTCATTATTATGTGTTTCTACATCCTGTTGAAATGAATGCCTCAACTTTAAGAACCCTTTGTAAATCCCTAAGAAGGGTTCGTTAAGGAGCTGATGGTGTAATGCACCAGGGCAATATACCGGGTGACAACGAAATCATTGGACAGGGCGTCATTCAGTTGTTTTTCAGGTTAGACTTCTGACATTTGGATCGAGGATATACACTACTCCAAGAAATTGACGTACCAGTAAAAAGCAACCAAAAGTACTGGTCCGATTCGGGCGTTTTTTGTTTTGAATGACAGGTAATTTCTTTCTGAACATTGGTGAGTGAACTGTATTCGCATAAAAACCTCTTTTTTATACATACCGGGTGTAGCAATTACAGCGTGTTTTTTCATGAAAGTAATACCCTGTAGAATGTAATAGTTATACTATCGAGTAAAAATTGAAATCACACTTTAGCCATTTCTTTCTTGGATTCACTCTATTATCTTTCCTATTATTCGAGAAACACTATTTTATAGCGTAACATGATTTTATGGAAGATTAATATCGAAATTAAATAACGGAAAAACCAAAAAAATGCCAAGTCACAAGTTAAACGGAAGGGTCAGTAGCGAGTATTTCCGCCGCGGGCACGAAAAACTTCTTGGCAAAGACGGCCAATACCCAAAATAAGAGACCTAATGGCATGTTGGTCCAGGTCTTCCCAAATTTGAATCATAAGTCTCTGCCGTGAGATTTCCAAACTATTCAAGTTACATTCCTTTTCCTCATTCCAGATTTTTTGGGATTTTCTCTCCTCGTCTCTATAAAATGAAAATATGAATACTATTTCAAAAAAATCTGGAATAATGAATGTACCACCTCCTCGATTAACCTACAGACAGTACATTCCTCTTGTAATCTGGTCCCAATAATGTCCCAGAGATTCTCAATGAGATTTCAATCCGGGCTCCGAATCAGCCATGGTAGCGATACAGACTTCCTCTAGATAATTTCTCACAACTCGGACGACATGAGGCCTGGCATTATCTTGCATCAACAAAAATCCTTACACTATATGTGGTTTTAAATCACCGATATGTACATTTCAGCTATAAGGCTCCATTTATGATCACACGTTCCATGCGACCAGTCAAATAAATGCCTTCGCAGACCACAGCCTGCTACTTACGTACTTATAATGCCAATTGAATTCAATAAAATCATGTTATGATATTAAATTGTGTTTCTGGAGGAATAGGAAAGATAATGGAGTGAATCCAAAAAAGGAATGTTGAAAAAATATAAGGCTAAAGTGTACTTTTAATTTCAACTTCGTAACTGTTACAGTTCACAGAGTATTTCAAATTTCATGAAAAAAAAACACAAGACTATAGCTACACCCGGTATTCATAAAAAAAGGTTCTTATGCGAATACAGTTTGCACACCAATGTTTAGAAGGAAATCACCTGTCATTCGAACAAAGTAGTTTTGACGAAAATGTTTCTAACCTTTTGGCTACTTTTTGATGGTGCGTTAATTTTTTGGAGAAATGCAGTTCCTTAAAACCCATATTATCTATGAAAAAACAATTGAATACCACTTCCGGTTTTACCGGGAATTGACCTAGGTCGAAAATTTTGTAAGGATCCCTGTAGATATATTTACGCCATTCGATGGAGCAAAAAAATCCCTTTTTCAATTACATATGACAAGTGGGCATTTGTTTCCAAAAAGGCGACGCAGGAGAATTTTTTTCTAAAACTAATATGGCAACATTATGAGGTTATAATAATATAATAATAATAATAATAATACTTTTATTACCCCATCAGAATTATGTTACATAGCAATACATACAAATACAATAATTATAAAGGTAACAGGTTTTCGGTTCAGCTTTCAGCAACAGCCAAATCTGTTCTTCCACCGACACCTTTATTCAATAATTCAAATTACCTATTTGATGGCAAGAATTATATAAATAA